CAGTTTGAAACACTGAATGAGCTTTTACATGAGACATTTCAGTAAGTTGTACTGTAGGCTTTCTTATAAAATAGGCTACATTTTGCTGTTAATTCATGTTCATTATGTAGGCCTACTACAGTAGTAAAAAGAAAGATATAAATGGTTGTCACTTGAACTGAGGCGCTAAAGCGACCGCGCCTGCCGCATTAAAGAGCGCCAAAACTGTATTTATTGTTTGAATTTCGTTATGAATTTGGCATCATTTTAAAGCTGATACTTTGTTTATTAAAAAGTAACAAATCATTTTGCGATTAATGGACGGCAAGTGTGCATCAAATAATATGAAGTTCACGCATTAACCGAATAGCATATAAGATCTTGAGAAGAAGCCATGTTAGTAATGATTATAAAAGAGAATTGTTAACGATATTGCCAATATCCACACAGCTGACAGCTTTACCTGTTGTAGTTTGTTCAGAGTTGTGCACGAAAATCACTGAACGGTTGTGTACGAAATAGACTCTGCTTTTCCACACATTTACTTGCACGTCTCCGTCATTTCGATCTCTCTCGCGCTGCACAACTGAGCTGCGTTTAACAGGTGTGCGTCAGCGCTGCTGTTCAGCAGAGATAAGGACTGTTTGAAACTCTTTTTTCCACTAAAACTTTGATGCGCATCGTCTCAGTTTAATACGTGAACATAGCAAATGACGCAATCGCAAAAAAATCAGGAAAAAAGGCATTACATGCAAATTTTTAAGTCATAACATGTAAATATATATAGTCGCCAGTGGCGACCTCAGCAAAAACGTCACTTGCAAATTAATATTTTTGGTCGCAGTCTGGAGCCCTGGCTTCAATGCAGCAGAATCTGAGGCAGATAACTTGTCTCTCTTTGACACTGATCAGAAAACCAGAAATATTACAATTTGACTATTCGTGCAAGTCAGAAATGCGGGCATGCTTTAAATACTCTAGAAAGGAGTTTTCTTCTGCCTGTGTTTTACTCCCAGCTCGACCTTCACACCTCTCCTCCAGGCCATGTGTTGAACAACAAACACACCAACCAACTCCTACAAACATTCACTCACCCATCTCTTGATAGAAGTATCCATTCTTAGCCATCCCTGAGGAGGGAGCCTCTGCAAGAGAAATTAAAACCACAATTGACAAAAGACATCAAATAACTATGAGTGTGTGTAGTGCTGGGCGGTATACCGGTTCATACCGAATACCGGTGTTTATTTTTGTTATGATATGAATTTTTAAAATACCGCAATACGTATGTACACACACACACACACACACAAGCGCGACTTTAGCACTAGATTTAGCAACTTTCAGACCCTTTTAGCGGCTTTTTTTCCATAGAATATTCATACTGACAAACCTAGCGACTTTTTTGGATAAACCTTAGCTATGGTTCAGTTAGAAGATTTCGCCAGTGCTGTCCTGCGAACGTGAGGTCTGACTTTCCCAGAGAAGTGGCACCTCTCTCGGCATCTGTTCTGTGCAGTGAGCGGCAGAGAAGCAGCGCTTTCAGTTGGCCGCACCGCAGCCGACTCGTCAATAAATGAATACAAAACACCGTTTCCTAGCACCTGTCGCTTAATAGCCAAAACAACCGCATAGCTGCTCTTTAGTGTAGATGCATGTTGATTTTATCAGACGATGCCGCGATTATAAATGAGTGACTCCTGGTTAACATGTATTAAAAGGGGTCGTGTTTAGTCACTATTTATTTAGTGTGGTATTTTTTGACAATATTCACTCATCATGATAGTAAAATAGGGCATTCTAAGTCAATATACTGCAGTATTTCCTCTCTCAATCAGTAGAAAATTTGGTTAACACCCAGTCATGCATGAAAAAAAAAATACCGTCATGTACCGTGAAACCGGTATAATTTTGAAAAATACCGTGATATAAATTTTTGGTCATATCGCCCAGCACTAAGTGTGTGTTAAATAACACAGCGTGAGTAAGTGTTTCGGATTACCGTAAGAGAATAAAGCAGGTTTGATCAAGCACTGATTCTTAAGTACTGGGGCAAAACAGGCTACAAAAATAAAAGGTTATCTATCCAGGAATTATAATGGAGTAATCTGTTCAACATGTTCGGGTGCTGTCTCTGGCCTCTATTTTCTCACAAAATGCGTTTTTCCTCTCAATAAGTGTCAACGCCAACAGACACAAAAATAATGTGTAAAACAGTTATTATGAATATTAATTAAAGGGGTGGTTGATTGCGATTTCACTTTTTTAATGTTAGTTAGTGTGTAATGTTGCTGTTTGATCATAAACAATATCTGCAAAGTTACGAAGCTGAAAGTTCAATGCAAATGGAGATATCTTTAAAAAAATTCTGGTTTAATGCCTACAAAAACGACTGGTAAGGGACTACAACGAGTTACTTCCCAGGTCCGTTACGTCAAGAACCCAGAATTTGACATAAACCCCGCCTCCGGGAACACGCAGCAAAGGGGGCGAGGCCATGCTGCGCTGCTTTAGAGAAGAGGAAGAGAAAACTAGAGGTGCACGTAAAAATCTATTCATATATGAATCGCGATTCTGTCTTCTAACGATTCTAATGGATTCACAAG